TCCAAAAGAAGACCCTTCTCCAAAGGCCCTCCATGGATCGACCGCGAATTGAGATCAATGATGAAAAGAAGGCGAAAACTGTGGGATCGTTTCAGAATTACGCGAGTTGAGCTTGACTACTGTCACTACAAAACGGTCAGGAATGCTTGTAACATAAAAAACGCGAGAAACGCCAAAAGTACGAACTGTCATTAGCTGCAATTTCCAGTACAAACTCCAAGGCGCTCTTCTCATACCTCCAACGAAGCTCTAAAGCTGGAAGTGGTGTCCCTGCCTTGTCTCCATGTGAGCATTTGGACCTAGTCTATGAAGACGCTGAGAAAGCTAGCCTTTTGGCCCAGCAATATTCCTCAGTCTATTCTACCGAAACGCCACTCCCAGATAGCGTTGCACCCACTCCTCCCTTCCTTTTGGAGCACGTGCATGTATCCACTGACGATGTAATGAAACTTCTACTTGACCTAGACCCGTATTCCTCGCCGGGTCCCAATGGTTTACACCCATTGTTCCTCAAGACCGTGGCCGGACACATTGCCGCTCCTGTATGTCAAATTTTCCGTCGTTCCCTTGAGGTCGGACGGCTTCCTACTGCTTGGAAGATGGGAACGGTTAAACCCACTTACAAAGGAGGGAACCGACAGAATCCAGCCAGCCATCGTCCCATATGTTTGACTTTGATTTTGTGCAAAGTCATGGAACGGATTCTGAAACGGGCCCTTCGCCTACATCTCGATGAGTTGGAGTTCCTATCTCATACCCAACATGGCTTCCGAATGACGCGTTCATGTGCTACAAAGTTGCTGATAGCTAGGGAAAATGGGCAAGATCATTAAATGCCGGTAAGCGTCTGGATGCTGTGTTTGTCGATTTCAGTAAGGCTTTCGACAAGGTCCCACATGAGCGGCTCCTCTTCAAACTCCGGGGCATCGGCGTCACTGGAAATTTTCTTTCATGGGTCTCGGATTTCCTGCAAGGTCGCTTCATGCAGGTCAAAGTTAACGAAGCGCTTTCTGATCAAATTCTCATGACCAGCGGGGTTCCCCAGGGTTCTCTACTCGGCCCCAAACTCTTCAATATCTTCATAAACGACCTGCCATCCGAACTGCAGGCCGACTGCTTAATCTATGCGGATGATCTGAAGCTGTGGATTGAGGTTTCCAGTCTGAAAGACGCAGACATACTTCAAGCGACACTCGATCAGCTCCACGATTGGTCACTAAAGTGGCGGTTGCCCATTAACAATGACAAATGCGCTATCCTTCCAATCGGTGCTCCGGAGTCTTTTGGGGCTTACCATATCGGGGGTTTCCTGCTCAGAAATGTCGACCAAGAGAGTGACCTTGGAGTGACTGTGTCCCTTGATAGCAAATCAATGGAAGACACCCGGAAGAGGGTCGCATCCGCAAACAGAATACTTCACGCTATACGGAGAGCCTTTTCACGCCTGACCCCAGCACTCTTCAGATTGCTGTTTGCTTCTCATGTACGCCCAGTTCTCGAGTACAGATTGCCTGCTGCGTACCTGCTCACTAAGTCCGAACGTGACATGATCGAGAAGGTTCAACGGCGTGGATCCAAATCCGTTCCAGAGCTTCGGGACTTACCCTACCTCCTCCGGCTACAACGGTTGAACCTGTTCTCTTTGGATTATCGTCGTCGCCGCGGAGATATGATATTCACCCGGCGTATTCTACGATGTGAGCTGGGAAGTGAGCTGCAATCGTTCTTTTGTCTAAACACAAGTTGTGCAACTCGAAGCCACCGGTGGAAACTTTTCAAACGGCAGCGACTCCGTGTACGGTCCGGTCTGGCCCTATCCACCCGGGTAGTGAATGACTCGAACAGCTTGCCAGAAGCTGTCGTCGATGCAGAGACGAAGGAATTTTTCAAATGACGGTTGGATACCCACTCTCTGAGTGCGCATGGATTCTGCTACCCACAATACAACCATAGCGATCTTCCGCTGAATCTTGTTCTGCAATGATCCCAGCAACCCTCGCAATGTCCGGGAAGGGACGGAGCTGACAAAGGAACTTCCTTCTGCTCTCTACTAACCAATGAACCAAGGAATGTAGTGTACTTGATGAAAGCTATTCTAGCACCCTTAGCAAGGTTAAGAAAGTATGTAGCAGCTAGTGGGAGTTGCGTGTTTCACCTACCATAACGCATATGGCATGGAAGGTTTAAGAGTCAGCAACAAGGATAATATTATGCTCGAAAGCCCAAGAAAAGGCGTAGTGGTGGTAAAAGTTTGCTGGATAATTAGCCAGCTAGTGCAACACGTGCTCTCTGCGCTGGTTAGCTATGGAGCCAGTGAAATAGAATATGGAAACATGAAGAGTTTAATAGCAAAAGCCTTTGAAGTGAAGTATTGGTTTCCATTATGCATGACTACTGGTTTTATAATAGTGCTCGGTACATGAAAATTAGATCTAATGGAGTATATGTGGCCAAAAGCGAACAAGTAAAGAACAAAATGCCTGGATTCATGGGCCTACTACTTTAAAGCGGACACTAGCGAGCAGTAAGAATATATATATATATATATATATATATATATATATATATATATATATATATATATATATATATATATATATATATATATATATATATATATATATATATATATATATATATATATATATATATATATATATATATATATATATATTTCCCGTATGCGTACCGATTTTATTTAAAAACAGGAGTAAAATAGGGAGTGAACAGTATTACTAACTGCGTAGCAATTCTGGCCAAATAGCAACTGACATCTAAGATTTTTCGCAGAAATATATCGAAAATTGGTATTTAGACGGTGTTTTGGACCACCATAAGGTTCTCCTGGGTGCATTGTGAGTACCAAACGCAACCATATGCACTAACCTCTTATACAAGGCGCAGATCTGGTAGAATACATTTAAAAGACGTACTTCAAAGAAAAAAAGAGTAGTAACTTTTCATTATTCAGTGGTCGTTGTAGGTCTGAATAGTTTTGATTGTGAAGCGCAAGTCGTATGTAATCACAGCGAAAACGCTTAGGGACTATATAACACATTAAATAGGTAGGCCTATTTAGAACTTATAACGCTTCGCCAAAACTTATTTCCTTTAATTTTATCTGATATCTGCTTGCAAATCAAAATTAAACTTTTTGCGAAAGGAAAGAATGGCGCCATTTGTAGACCAACATGCAATCTCGAATCAGTTGTTAGATACTGCAAGTAGAACGTTGCTTTTCCATTACCGTACTCAGCGTTTAAAATCTTCTCTAAGCAGCTCACTTTTCTACTATATTCCTGAAAACCCTGGTCTCAGAACGGGTAAATTATCATCCATTTGGTATGTTTAAATTTGGACCCTGGTATGTAACTCTTACGCAAGCCGATTTGTGTACAACGTTTGTTCATTCGTACGTTTCTAGTTAATGTTGCCGTCAAAGTACGTACCTTAAAATATGCGAATAACTTTTCTTTTCCTCGTTAGGAACTACTTTCACCTATTTCTTGTGCATTTTAATGCTAGGGCTCTCGTTTATTGCTAAGTGCACTTCATTAATTTTGACGTCTAAGCGTGCCAAAATTTTCCAAATAAATTACGGTAAATTGCATAGGGTATCGAATCCCGCTTCCATAGAAAATCCTTACAACTACGGCTCTGTGCGAACTTTCGCCACCACTGCAAGCAGCGAGCCAAAGGTTGCATGTAAAAGCCATATGAAGATCAATTCCAACGAAATAGTAAAGACGGTTGTAGAGAATTGGATGATGCATCCGAAGAAAAGCTGCGCAAATATGCATCTGCCTGACATTTGGCACTAATAAAATCAAGGTTCACCAAATTTCCTGAAGGAGCCTGTAGCATAGCACGGTGGGCGGGAGCCACCCTTTCAACCGGACCCGCAACAGTTCTTGCATTGCGAACAAGGAACATATATGCTTATTCTGCTCACCCACCAAGCTAAAGCGTGGGATTTTCATAACTATTGTGCTGACCACTTGCAGTCACAGTATCTAGCCAGGATAGTTTTATACCTTCACTTAATTATTTTTAAAAGTTAGAGAAAGCTATGAGAAACTTACCGCTAGTTGTACGTCGGAGCCTGTCGTACTATAGTTGGCACAATAAAACTTGTTTGCAGTACGCTAAAAGGTTACACAATGAGTCTGTAGAGATTTCAAGTCATTCAAATCCAAAGATTACCAAAGTGAAGTCAGATTGACAAAAAGGAGATCATACTGTTTTGATAGAAGCATACGTCCAGCCATAAAGGTGAGTCGTTTAGTCGGGTAGTCATATAGGGTTAATGCATCTGGAAGAAGGTGCTGGGATTTAATAAAATGATATAATTCGGGACAAGTTTTGGGCGGAACCTGGGATACTAGTCGGTAAGCAATGACACGTAAGACGTGTCAAATACGACAGTATAGAAGTCGGAGGAGACTGAACCCAACGTGTATTGTGCAGGCTACAAGAATAGGAAGCGAATCAGAGAGAGCGAGAAACGTGCAGCGAGGAACTCACCAAAACGGTTTGTGACCATGGATGTGCAGTCAGTTAAACAAATGGACGTTTCGAAGGTTAAAACAACCATAAAATCCAATGTTATAAGATACTGAAAGAGCATGTTTTCAGTTGCACTACAAGGGCCTCCCCCTAGAAGGCTGAAGGATGGAAGCCTTCGATGGAGCTGTTAGTGGGGGGAACGGAAGGTGAGGGTGGATGCGAATGTTTGCAGGGGCTGGAGAATGGCTTCCAAAGTGGGGTGTGTAGCAGATTTCGCTGGGTCCAGGCTTTTGTTAGTTTTATTTATGCCGATCGTGTGGACCAGAGTGCATCATCGGTGGGCCGTCGGGGCGGGCTGGTCGGACTGCAAAAAAACTGGCTAGTCCAGAAAAAAGGCCGACAGGACCTTCCCATTGCTGCAGACCCGACGGTGCGCTTGGGAGGTGTCACTCCCCCCACCGCACTTTAGTCCACGGTCCTCGTCCCACGAAGAAATGCAGACATCCTCGTCCCTCGGAGAAATCCGGCCATCCTCGTCCCACGAAGAAATGCAGGCGTCCTCGTTGGCAATGCCTAGGCGGCGTTTGGGGACCAATCCGTTCGTGGGTGTCTGCGGTCGAGGGCGACTGTCTGTTCCTTGGGTGAGGAAGGGGGCTGTGGGACTGCTGGCGAGTCACTCCAGGGTTGCGTTGAGCCGGTTGGCGGGTCACTTGAGGGTTGACTGGGCAGTTCCGGCGGTTGAGTTTCTGGAAGATAGAACTCAGAGGGGGTTGGCAAGGGTCTGGGAAGTGGCTTGACGCCGGAGAGGGGACATGGCATGTATGATAAAAGCAAATACGCTTTTTAGGTTTTTCAAAATGTTTTGGGTTTTTTTGTCGATTTTGCAAAACGTTTGTGGGTGAGACGCAGGATAACCATTAAAGACGAAAAAGGCGTGTTAATGGAAATAGCAAACGCTTACAAAATCGGAAAAACGGACCGGACGTTTGACCTGTCTACCGCGTCGGTCGGTTGCCTGGGGTTGCGGCGGGATAGGTTGCGGGTCAAGGGGTACGGAGGGATCCGGGTTATCCAGTGCTCGGGAAGTCACCACAGGTGCGGGTGCTTGTGAGAGAGCATCAGGATGAGCTGCAAGTGGCTCGTCAAAGAAAGCCACTTTGAGGCGGTCGATGGACACCGTTGTTCGGTGACCATTCTGGTCTATAGTAAAATGTTTCGGAGTCCGTTGCAGAACTCTGAAAGGGCCAGTGTAGGGAGGCTGGAGAGGGCGCCGCACTGCGTCGGTGCGGAGGAAGACGTGAGTGCAGGTAGAGAGTCCGCTGTGCATTTGCACATCTCTAGTCTGTTCACGGGGCGGGGTCGGGCGTAGTGAACGCATGCGCTGAGCTAGGGAGGACGCAAAGTTAGGCGGAGGCATACCCGACGATGCGGGAGGTGAAACGAATTCTCCTGGTAACTTGAGCGTCGTGCCGTAAACCAGCTCTGCTGGTGCACATTGCAAGTCAGCTTTGATGCTGCTGCGAATGCCTAAGAGTACGAGCGAAATGTTTTCGCTCCAGCTAGGGTCGGAGGAGGCGCAGAGCGAGGCTTTAAGCTGTCTATGGAAACGTTCAACTAACCCGTTGGCTGCTGGGTGATACGCTGTGGTATGGATGCGGCGACAGCCTAAGAAGTTGCAGAACGTATCGAATTGTGAAGATTCGAAAGGCGTTCCTCGGTCAGTTGTGATGGTGGATGGGCATCCGTAGTGCGAGACCCATCGGTCCAAGAAGGCCCGGATAACAGTCTCAGCTGTGCAGTCTGTTACGGGGATAGCTTCTGGCCATCTGGTGAAGCGGTCGACACATGTAAGAATGTATACGAATCCGCGTGACGGAGGCAATGGACCTACCAGGTCTAAGTGTACATGCGAGAACCGAGAGTCCGGGGCAGGAAATGAACCAAGAGGACTGCGGGTGTGACGATGTACTTTAGAGCGCTGGCATTGAAGGCAGGCGCGAGCCCAGGTACGAACATCTTTGTTTACGCGTGGCCAAACGAAACGTTCGGTGACCAGTTTCAAAGATGCACGGATACCGGGATGTGACAGTGAGTGCAGTGCGTCAAAGACTGTGCGTCTGAAGGAGACGGGCACGAGAGGTCTAGGACAACCTGTGGACGTGTCACAGAGGATGGTTCCTTCCGTGGTTTGGAGAGGAACAGGTTGCACATGCAGCGAAGTGGACTGCAGAGTGCGCTGTATGTCTTCGTCTTGAGCCTGAGCCGATGCCATTGCGGCAAGGTCGACGGTAGGCAAAGACTGCAGAGTGAGGTTGACGCGTGAGAGAGCGTCGGCGACGGGATTGTCGACACCTGAGACATGACGTATGTCAGCAGTGAACTGCGTGACAAAGTCTAGGTGTCTTGTTTCCCGTGGTGAGTATTTGTCGCTAGCAGAGTTGAAGGCAAATATAAGGGGCTTGTGGTCAGTGTAGACCGTGAAAGCGCGGCCTTCAAGTGTGTGCCGGAAGTGACGTATCGCTAGGTAAATGGCGAGCAGTTCTCTGCCAAACGTGCTGTAGCGGGATTCCGCTGGCTGCAGGCGCTTGGAGAAGAACCCAAGGGGTTGCCATTGCCCACCAACGTGTTGTTGGAGGACGGCTCCTACCGCGACGTCTGAGGCATCAGTCGTAATAGAAAGAGGTGCAGTCGATTCGGAATGAGCGAGGAGGGCTATGTTGGAGATAGCATCCTTGAGCTCGGCGAAGGCTGCCTGTGCTGTGTCAGGGAAAGCGAACTTACGTTCATTTCCTCTGAGTAGGTCAGTCAGTGGCTGCATGAGCTGAGCGCAGCGCGGAATGAAGCGTCGATAGTAGTTGACCAAACCACAAAATCGACGGAGGTGCTTGAAGGAAGTCGGAGCTGGGAAGTCCTTGATTGCCTGGATCTTATCAGGAAGGACTTCGATACCAGACGATGAAACGAGGTGGCCTAGGAATTCTACCGTTGATTTGCCGAGTTCGCACTTAGTCGGGTTGACTGTGACACCGTGTTGGGTCAAGCGCTGGAAGAGAGCTCGAAGATGCTCGAGGTGCTCTTGTTCCGATGAACTGGCTACTAAGATATCATCGAGGTAGGAATATGCGAAGTCTAGGCCACGAGTAACATCGTGGATGAAGCGCTGGAAGGTTTGTGCGGCGTTGCACAGTCCAAATGGCATCCTTAAAAATTCAAACAAACCGAAAGGAGTGATTACGGCTGTTTTAGGAATGTCATTGTCTTCCACAGGTATCTGGTGATAGGCGCGAACCAGATCGATCTTGCTGAAGATCGTCTTACCTGTGAGGCATGCGGTAAGGTCCTGCATGTGTGGGATGGGATACCTATCTGGGACGGTTAGGCGATTGAGTGCGCGGTAATCACCGCAAGGGCGCCAGTCACCAGATTTCTTGGGGACCATCTGCAGGGGCGAGGACCAAGGGCTGTCGGAAGGGCGGATTATTCCAAGTTCAAGCATGTGCTCAAACTCCGCCCTAGCTACCTTTAGTTTCTCAGGCGATAGTCGGCGTGGACGGCATGACACAGGTGGGCCGTTCGTCCGTATGTGGTGCGTGACTTGAGCTGCCACGGGCAAAGCTGCGTTCATTGGCTGAACGAGCTTGGGATACTGAGAAAGGAGATTAGCGTAGGCTGACGAGGTCTGGGGAAATGCATAGACCGGGGATATAGATGTCACATCGGCGGTGCTGCCACGTACGCTGAGTTTTGTTGCAGTGTCGACTATCATCTGGCGTTTCGCATCGACCAAGAGGTCGAAATGCCTGAGAAAGTCAATGCCGATGATGGCAAAGGGGACTGCAGCGACGGTGAATACCCAGCGGAACGTGCGCCGAAGACCTAGGTCCAGGGTAAGTGACCGCTGACCATAGGTGGCTATTGGCGTGCCATTGGCGGCACTGAGGCTTGTCGACAGAGAAGCGGTAGGCTCACCTGGCATAGGGGGAATGACGCTGACTTCCGCCCCGGTATCAACTAAGAACTGGGTATCGGAGTCATAATCCCTAATGTAGATGAGACGACTTTGAGCTTTGCCGACGTTCGTGGCCATTACAGCCCGGCGTGGCGGATCATCTATAGCGGAGTAGCTACACGGCTGTACGCACTTACGGGCTTTAGTACCGAAACGCGAGTGGTAAAAGCAGTAACCTGAGGCATCAGGTTTTGTGCGACGGTGCGATGATCCAGAGCGGTTGCAGTGCTTACGTTTTAAGGTGAGTTCTTTGATCTGGCGCTGAAGCGACGCTATCTGCAATGATAATGCGTCTATTGCCGACGGAGGGCTAGTCGCGCCTGTCGTTGTGGTTGCGCCAGCGCAAAGCTGCTTAGGTGCTTTGGTTTCAGTCTCTGGTTGGTGCCGTTCGATGACGCGGTCTGCTAGATCTGCAATTGCCGTGATTGGCAAGTCACTTGCTACTGCAAGGATAGCTTGAGTGCTTGCAGGAAGGCGTTGCATCCACAGCTCGCGGAGAATCCCTACGTCCATGTTGGACGTGCCGATGAGCTGTTGCATTTCGCGCAACAAGGCTGAGGGCATCCTATCTCCTAGCTGCAGATCACTAAATAGTTGCTGCAGACGGACCTTGTCAGAAGGCGTGATTCGCTGAATAATAGCCTGTTTAAGTGTCTCGTATTTCATTACTAGAGGGGGGCAAAGTATGATGTCTCTCACCTGCGAGGATATACTATAAGGAAGGCAAGATATTAGCTGGTTATACATGGCGAAATCAGAAGAAATCTTACGAATATAAAATACGGATTCTAAATGTAAAAACCATAATAAAGGATCATTCTCCCAAAAAGGGGAGGGGCTAAGGCAACAGAATTGACCATGACAGGCTGAACGGCGTTAACCGCGCATGGAGACGGCTTATCCTCTAGATTATCCATTGCAAAAAGCAGATAAAAAATGTGGTAGGTGAGAAAACAATATGATCACAAGTAATGAATCACAAAATCACTGGAACGAGCTCACCAGAATGAAAATGCAAAATGGCGGGCGGCGTGTTCCTGACAGGGGGTCACCAATTGTTGGGCGGAACCTGGGATACTAGTCGGTAAGCAATGACACGTAAGACGTGTCAAATACGACAGTATAGAAGTCGGAGGAGACTGAACCCAACGTGTATTGTGCAGGCTACAAGAATAGGAAGCGAATCAGAGAGAGCGAGAAACGTGCAGCGAGGAACTCACCAAAACGGTTTGTGACCATGGATGTGCAGTCAGTTAAACAAATGGACGTTTCGAAGGTTAAAACAACCATAAAATCCAATGTTATAAGATACTGAAAGAGCATGTTTTCAGTTGCACTACACAAGTTCCATATGGGTTAAGCAACGGGCCCATTGAAAATGCGTTCACGAGCAGCAGCAGACTTATATAGATATGCTATTGTTGCAAAATAGATAGGCAGTACTTTGGTGGGTTAGAGGCTTAACCAGCAGTACCTACTGCTGCATCATGTAAAATAAAAGCACCGATAACCCAAAGATACAAAGCAGCTGGCAGGGAATACAAGCAGATCTAATGGACGCAACGTCTAGTTATAGTAGGTAGACTTGCTGGATGGGTTTGCAGAACTGGTGCGAAAACATAAGTAAGGAACAGCTCGGGTTTAAGGTGAGTGAAGATGATTATGGCCCGAGGTTTGGAGAGGCTTAACCGTAGCAGCAGCAGTCTGGGTTGCCGCGTTAGCTACAATGAAAATGAAAGGCGCTAGCTGAGGGGAAATAAATAAAAATGTTTGGAAGATGGA